TCACTATTGATCATTTGATTTAAATAATTGTTTCTCAAGCATTCAGTGTTATAGTTTGATCGGAAATTATATATTCTTAAGTAATTGATCACATTTTATTAAAATATAAACGTTTAATAGGGTAGAAATTGTGAAATTATTTAGCTTTAGCATGTATAGTCGGCCAGAGACAATTGCAGAAAACTGCAACTACTCGTGAAAACTTACAATAAAAGCAATGTAGACGAAAGTACTAGATATTATTATTAAAACTAGATCCATATATAAAACATTTTATATCGTTTATTTGAAGTAAATCGGAATATGTTTTTACATATAAGATAGTTTCCATTTAACTCATAAAGTACATATTTCACTACAAATAATAGCGCTAATTAGTTGTATTGAAGTATAAAACATTTTATTACGGTCATATTTACTTATAAAGCGCACAACAATATTTCTCTCGCCATTTATCCGATGTTAAAATTTTTCACCACATTATTTTGCTGCACAGCACCCTGAATGCGGCAAAACAGTTGCTGGCAACCCTCAAGTCCTTTATGGGGACCAAATTAACAGCCACAACAGCAAAAACCTTTTCTGTGGTATTAGCTCGCCTTCAGCATGATTCAATAATACCATGATTCAATAATACAAGCAGTGTTGCCGCTTTAGCCCTTTGGTGGCTAAATTTGGCTACCAAATTCTTTTTTTGGCCACAAAAATTTGAAATTGCCCCTAGCCCTTTTTTTAGCCCTTTTCAAAATTTATTCATCATTGACATTAAAATTTTTTATATGATTTTCATGAATTTAACTCTTCGCTCATAAAGCGAACGCCTTTCCTTTAAGGCAAATAAACTGTTCATTGTGTCGCTAGCTTAAGTGGTGGAAAAAGTTTGTTTATCGGTTGCTTCTTTTACCTTTAAGTAACGCAGAAGTTGAAAGGACGTTTTCTATAATAAATTTCGTTAAAAATAAGCACAGAAATAAAATGAATTTTGCAATGTTAAACGCTTTGTTCACTGTAAGATATGGCTTAAAAAATCTACAGAAATGTTGTCATGATTTTGATTTTACAGATGATATCGTCAGGTTAATGAGAAATGAACAAAATTGTAACGACGAAGAATCGCTTAGCGATGATAGTATTGATATAGATATAAATATTTAATGTGTTAAAAAAAATGTTTATAGATTAAATTATTTTACTATGAGTTCATTAAATGAATACTCTTTTGTTTGTTTGATACATACAGCGTCGGACAATAATAAAGCACCGACATTTTAATTCTTTGTAAATTATAACATAACATTTTAAAAATTTCTTTTACAAATGGATATTTTTCGAAGCATAGTTTGAAATTATTTAAGTTATTTAGTATTGTCCGACACTGTATATAGATATGATTCTAGTACTTATGTATTCTTAATGCGATCTCATTTTTTTGTTTATGTAAGAAATTAATTTTTAAACTGTACATATATATGTATATGCATGTTTTTTACGTTTCTGGGCCGTTATCTTATCCATTAACGATTTAACTATACTTTAAAATAGGTAAGTTGACGGCCCTTAAAATGCTTTATGTGTTACACAACAAGTTTATTTGTTGAATAAAATATTAATTCTTTCCAGAGTTCATTGTTTTTCTATATCATTACTTATAGAAAATGTTTGCGTTTATACTTATATATTTATATGTAGGTAAAAAAATTTTGCTACCATTTTTAGCCACAACGACGATTTTTAGCTCTTTTTTAGCCCTTTTTAGCCTGAATTTAGCTACCGCTAAAAATGTTTCGCGGCAACACTGAATACAAGGTTCGATAAACTGACAGTTGTCTCTCTCGCACCGCTCCCTTAGCAGTGGCACCGTGTTGCTTCTTTGCAAATTTACATGAAAACAGTGCAGATTTCGTGTGAAATAAAAGTAAAGCTTTTGTGCAATATGTTTATTTGTATATGCATATGAAGCATATTTAACTGATAAACATAAACATTGGATGTTTACATCAATCTCATAGTAGTCTTATTTTAATTTTGAGTCATTTTGCAGTTTTTATACGGCTGAATAGCATACAAATTACGTAATTCACGTAGATATGTCAATATTACGTTCAACATTTCGTTTGAAATGGCAGATTTCCTGCAAATACATTAGAATTTACGAAAGGAATTTCACTACTAATTGCCTACTTTGCGCACTTTCTACTACCATTTTCGAAACAAGGGATTGCATTCTTGCCCTTTCTCTGTCCTTCGTAAATGCAACCTTTTGTAAGGGAGTGTCAAACCGCAGCTGTCAATAATTATCTAACCTTGTATTATTGAATCATGTGACAGCACAAACGATGAAGAATGAAATGTCAAAAACTCTGTTTTTGTAGGTGGCGCTGCTGCTGCTCTGATGTTATGGTTAGAAACTCTACTAAATAAATAGGTATATTGCCAGATTTTCAAAAATTTTAACATTAAGCGAAAGCAGCATACCGTTAAAGCCGTTTACCCTTTGTTTAAATTTCGGAAAGTTGTATTCCTTCTACAAAACGTACAATATAGCTCACGTAGTATTTTGAAGAATATTATAATATTTGGTGACAGACATATGGTATTTTGGAAGAAGAAAACGCAGATGTCTGCCCACGGTATAACAGTCAATGGGCCTTTAACACCAGAATGACAGAAGCATTATTCTCACGATTTCACACTGGATTAAAACTAGCAGAACAACAGTAGAACACCCGACAGGGTGGTAAGATGATTTATTTTGGAACGAATTTCCGTCATCCCTTGTCAAGTTTGGTTTGCAGACAAACCGGTTTCGGCGTTGTGCCATCTTCAGTGTAATTTTTCGAACGAAAATGAAAAGACTAAAGTTCTTCAGGAATCAACTTGTTGGAACTTATCAGAGTGGCTTCAAGGATGATAAATTCACCATTGATAATATTTCGATAGAGTTTCATATCCTAGAAGAGAAGAAAAGAATTTAGATAAGCTAATCGATACACATGTGCCACCTTTTCGTATATTTTAAAGCGTCTATGTCTATAGACAACTCTCGGGCTGGCTTTCGCGCGGATTTCTCCTTCACAGACCACGTAAACACTGTGAGGATAATTCTCGGGCAGTGCGCCTATGCAGAGCTGATTTGCATCTGATATTTGTCGATTTCGAAAAGACTTTCGATAGAGAATGCCTTTGGGAAGCCCTGCGTCCTAGAGGAGTGCTGGATAAAATCATCGCTGTTATTAAATCTACGTACGGAAAAAAGTAAGGTTTCGTGTCCTTCACAACGGAAAGCTGAAGCTCGACAAGGCCGCATACCCTCACCGCTTCTCTTCCTTTTGGTGACTGGGGATGTGTTGTATGTTGCTTTGTGCCCGTTCTCGACTGCGGACTTCGGTGAACCATGTCGAGTTCACTGCTTGCACTACGCTGACGACATATGATTTTGTCACACCGTCTTTATAATCTATTTAAAATGGGCAACGCGCTACTCAGTGAGGCAGGCCTAAAACTCAACTTAAATAAGACCAAAGTTCTAAGTATGCCAGCGCTTCCTTGTGATGTCGCGACAGTGTCCAAACAAAAGCTTGAGGCTGTGAGGTATTTCACATACTTTACCAGCGAAATTGTCCCTGGTGGTCGCACCGACGAAGACATTGACCGCCGAATAAGTCTGTGGTATGATTCACACGTTATAGCGATTAGTTCTGATCTGATTAGTTCCATCCATACTGTTGTACGGTTGCTCGCCTTGGAAAGTCACCATTGCAATAACCACGCGCCTACAAGTTTTCGTAAACCGATGTCTTGGCATAATCTCCAAATTTGTCTCAAATGAGGAATTGCTTATAAAAGCTAAGATGGAGCCTCTTGACATCTGGATCCGTGGACAGACATTGAAGTGGATAGGTGACACCTTGCGCAAATAAGGCGGCTCTATTGCACAGAAGGCTGTGGTATGAAACCCTCTAATTGGCAGAGGCAGGGCCGCTAGCAGACCGTCGGAAACGTGGTGAAGAAGAAGAAAAAGGAGAAGCGATTGTTGAAGTTTTTTCAGTCTCAGCCTAAGCCAAAAAAAACAGTTGTAGTGCCAAGTAAGAAGAAGAAGTGCTATGTACATTAGGGTGGTCCAAAAATGCATGTGAGGGGGGATGGGAAGTAAAGTCGGAATTTGTATGCTCTCACCCCTGGGATTGTTCTATATCAAAAGAAATATACCCCATTACAATTCCGACTTTACTGTTTTTGGACCACCCAAATGTATGTATGTGTTGGCTATTTTAAAAAAGATTGAGATAAATGTGAAGATTACTTGCAAAATTTTGCTTTGGCTTTAGGTTAGTTCTCTAAAAAGAATTTTAAAAATAGAAAAATAATTGCGTATTTATCAATTTTATTGTGGCTTGTTAACATTTTTATTTGAAAATTTTTTGAGTTTTGTACCACGATTTTCTCCATTAGGGAAAATTTGAAACAGCAACAAAGTCTAAGCGGTAAAAGAAGTCTCTCGTAGTAATTGGATATCAACATTATATGTCTGCTTGGTACATTCATCATCTAGCTTACTACTAGCAGATAGTTGATATTCAATTATATTATTATAGAAATAATTTGAAAGTAGTTGCATTTATTACACTCGCTGCTTTTTTCTATTCATAAATATCTATGAATGTGGAATTTTCTGTTCAGTTATTCACGCATTTGTTACGTTATCCGCATTACATCTAGATGTATGTACATATATCTGTATGTACATTAGGATGTTCTTTATTTACCAGGTTGGATTCTGACAGAGTGCATCTATTGCCCCTGTAGCCAATACCGATATCGAAGGCAGGGTGATACAGTTTCAAACAAAAATAGAATGGTTATGACAGAGACAAGGTCTTATCGTATAGAAACATGGAGAATCTATGATCTCAGCTGCCTTTAACCATTTGCGCCAAAGATTATACAAGGTAATTGTTTTAGACAAGAAAATCAAAGCAGAGCTTTGCACCAAGGTGACCTGGAGCAACTCCATTATGGAGGCACACATACAGGGCCAGCAACATTCAGTGGTACACTGTTGGCTCCAAAACATCAGAAGGCATTGGGCAGGAATTTATGGTTCCAGTATGAGGCTATGTATCTGTGCTCATGGGCAAGTACCTGAGCATCTTCCTAGTGGAAGTATACGCCATCAATCGGTGTGCAGAGATTAGCTTACGTAGAGATTACCGTCATGAGAGTATCCCAATCCTTTAATCTAAAAAGATACAAACACCTATTCAACCATCAGATGCAGAAGTGCACGGGAACGCAAAAGCACTTTTTCCTGTAAAAACGTCACTCGGTTTGTTTACGTGCCATTGGTACAACACTGATTTGGCTGAAATATCACTGAAAAATTATCTTTACAGATAGTACTATTATCTCACATCCGGAACAAAAATCAAATCATCTAGCAATAGTATGGAACTCATTGGGATCAAATGACAAACTCGACAGATGCCGTTATACAAAAAAAAATTGAGCATGAACGTTGACAATTTGGAAAGCATTGCAAATAATTTGATTTGTACTCTAGAAGCAGTAACACTCGCGGAATTACATCGAGCACTCGAAAATGCAATTCAGCTGAAAGCCTGAATAGCCCAAACTCCTGAAAAGCTTGTTGTGGAGTTGTACTCTTGATGTTCAAATTCAAATCAAATCAACTTCAAATTTAAATCAACTTGGTAAATAGCTGATACGCACCCTAATATACATGCATACATACGTGCTACGTATTCATGATTCAATGGCTGCGTTTCTTTATACATTCCGGATAATCCCATTTCACAGCGGGAATAAACAGAATGCTTTTGAAATATACGTTAACATATCATCAGGAACGTTCTAAAGAATAAGTAAACAAAAAAGTTTATTCCAAACGTTCAGAATGAATAAATAAATTCAGCCAATAATACAAGGTTAGATAATTATTGACAGCTGCGGTTTGACACTCCCTTACAAAAGGTTGCATTTACGGAGGACAGAGAAAGGGCAGAATGCAATCCCTTGTTTCGAAAATGGTAGTAGAAAAGTACGCAAAGTAGGCAATTAGTAGTGAAATTCCTTTCGTAAATTCTAATGTATTTGCAGGAAATCTGCCATTTTAAACGAAATGTTGAACGTAATATTGATATATCTACGTGAATTACGTAATTTATATGCTATTTAGCCGTATAAAAACTGCAAAATGACTCAAAATTTAAAAAGACTACTATGAGACTGATGTAAACATCCAATGCATATGTTTTCATCAGTTAAATATGCTTCATATGCATATACAAATAAAGATATTGCACAAAAGCTTATACTTTTATTTCACACCAAAGCTACACTGTTTCCATGTAAAATTGCAAAGAAGCAACACGGTGCCACTGCTAAGGGAGCGGTGCGAGAGAGACAACTGTCAGTTTATCGAACCTTGTATTATTGAATCATGGCCTTCAGCTTTGTCAAATATCTTAACGCGGTTACAACTTAATGCTAAAGCCACCAGATCACAGTATAGACAGTAACCACGATTGAGGGAATACAAAGGTTGCGCCGATCTCGGACCGCTATTCCCCTCTTAACGAATTTGACAGAATCGTTGTTTGCATGACGTCACACTGGTGCAACTTGTTTACGTTTTCCTTGCAACATTTTTTCTTCTTCTTCCATTCTTGCTCACGTTTTGGCATTTCTCTCTCGCAATTGCACCAGTGTGACGTCCCACAAAAGTTATTCTCAAAAATCCTCTCTGATCAGCGCAATCTTGTATTCTATCCATTGTGTACAAATACAAGTGAGATATCTTAGCAATAGACGTCATCCTGGGCCATAGCTGCGATCAAGGTGTATTAAACAAGGTGGTGTTGGGGCGACAGCTGAGTTTTTCGCCGTGGAGGCCATTACGTCAAAATGATGTGTTTGTTGTAACTCATACCAATGACAGTATGGACATCAGCGTATAATTTGTTAGTGTAATTTTTTACTTACATACGGCCAACACCACCTTGTTAAATACGCCTTGGCTGCGATTATCTGTTTTTTAGAGTTGCTTATTTTGGTCTAAAGTGCGATTTTTTGACCTGAGTTGCATTAAATAGTCTCTTAAAACTTGGTAGTATTAGTTGTTCAAATGGTAACATATATGCCCAAAAACTTGAAAAATATTAGATGATTGCTTTTTAAAAATGCTATTTATAAAATTTGGTTTTGATTGCGAAATTAGAAATATTCAGATTATAAAAGTTTTTCACATATGTTTTAAGATTTTAAAGCTTTTAAAATGTACGGTAGAATGCAAAAATGTGCTTGAATTTGTTTGCTTCTTCGTCAGCTTATTCGTTTGCAGACTAGAAAAATGGCGAACAGCCATCAAAATACTTGGGGTGTTCACAGTTCGTTCCAAATAGTGTCTCAAAATGTAGATGTCTACATTTTAAGACGTTTTCTAACCGTAAAATCTGTGGTGTTGTTGTTTCCCATACAAAATCGGAAAACGACGCCGTCTACATTTTGTCACACTCAAATGTATTGGGGTGTTCACAGTTCGTTCCAAATTGTGTCTGAAAATGTAGACGTCTACATTTTAAGACGTTTTTAGCATCAAACTGTGAGCACCCCTTTCTCGCAGTTGTCGCAAAATCGTCGCAAAACTTTACTGCTGTTGCCAGACATTTCTTGTTTGGGTCAATTCGAAAATTTAGTTTATAATTCATATTCTGCTTTGAATGCTCTTTGAAAATTGTCAATGCGATGCTAATATGCCGATTACAAGTGAAAAAGGAGAACTGTTAAATGGACTGTGCTTCCAAAATGCACTAGATTTATTAATGAATGATTCAAGTAAGAATAGCTTTCATACTATAAATAGTTTCTAATGGTGCTTATTCAAAGGTGACGATGAAAATGAGGAGGACATCATGTTGGCCTTTACCATCAATGTTGTGGAAACACTTACAAATCGACGAGCAACTCATTTTTATGTTCCGAAAACACAGGATTGGACGCAAAGTGTGCTTGGGCAGTTCGATAGCAACAGATGTCGTCAGATGCTACGTGTTGAGATCGAGGAGTTCAGCTACATCTTATCGCTCATCAAGGACGACAAGGGTTTCTCGAACAAAAATGGCGTTCCTCAGCTGTCTATAGAACGGCAATTGCAGATTGCCCTGTTCAGACTTGGTTCAAGTGGAGAGAGTGCATCCGTTCGAAAAATTGCTACATTGTTTGGAGTTGGTGATGGTGGCACATTAAATATTGTAACATATCGTGTCATAAAAGCGCTCATTAATTTAAAACACAAATTTTTGTTTTGGCCGTCAGAAACTGAGAGAAAAGCTATCGTAGCAAAGACAATGCATGAGCTACCCGGATGTATTGGTTATGTTGATGGGTCTGAAATTAGGCTAGCAGAAGCGCCGGTTAAAAATCATGAGCTGTATTTTTCCCGAAAAAAGCAGTATTCCGTTAAAATACAAGTCGTTTGCGATTTTAATTTGCAAATTCGTCAAGCAAGCTTGGGCCACCGAGGCAGTGTTCACGATGCCAAGATATACAGCCTCTCACCTATTTGCAAAAATTCAGCAAGGTACTTTTCGGAGAAACAGTGGCTGGCTGGTGATTCTGCTTATCCAGTTGGTGCCAACTTGATAACACCATTCAGACAAAACAGTACTGAGCTAACAAAGGACAAAAGAGACAAATTCAATAAATACTTTTCCAAATACAGAGTGAGGGTGGAAAACTGTTTTGGAAAACTAAAGGAGCGGTTCAACAGTTTAAAGGAGATGCGATTCCGTTTACATGATACAGATAATCATAAAAGGTGTTCTGAATGGATATTAGCCTGCTGCATTCTCCACAACATAATACAGCAGTATCAGCAGGTTGGTGATGAAACCGAAGGGTGTGAAGCTGTTGTTTATCCAGCTGAATTTTCCTTTCGATGCAACCACTCTACCTACTATAATACAATTCGAGTATTAAAAGTACTATTTGATTTATTTAAAGAAAAAGTGTTATCATTGTTATGGTGTTATTCGTTTATCCGGATAATATCTCACTTGCACTTTATACCTTTAATATATGTATGTATGTATAGGTACATACATTGAAGTGGCGCAACCTGGGTATTTTTATTTGATCGCTTATAACTTACCTAGTTTTGCATCGATTTTCTTCGATGATAGCTTATTTTTTTTGTAATACAACAGAGCTTAGGGAGAAAAAAAAATCTGCAAAAAAATAAAAGGTTTTCGAGATCCTTCCCCGCAAAGTACAATTTTTTTTATATTTTTACAAAAAAAATTGAAAAAATCGGTAATGATTGTTCGTTATCTTTGAATCTACAGGGCCTAGCAAAAAGTGTTGCATGCACAGTTTATAGAAAATTTTATTACCTTTTAAAAGCTTCAAACCGTTTTGGAATTGCTTAATTCGTTCTTGAGATATATATGATAAAGTGGACCCAATTTTTTTTTTTTGCAAAAACGGTAAATTGCAAATATCTCAAAAACGGTACCATAGAATTAAAAATAACCTTGATTTTCGGAATCAGGGGGTGATTTTACATAAGAATTTCATAACGGCGTTTCTGGTAAAGAGAAAAAGTTGAAATTTGTGGTCCAGTGTAATTACAATTTTTCAGAAACAAAATCGAAAGGCGACATATAAACAATGCACGCAAACAAGAAATGTCTGGCAACACCAGCAAAGTTTTGAGACGATTTTGCGACGACTGCTAGAAAGGGGTGCTCACAGTTTGATGCTAAAAATGTCTCAAAATGTAGACGTCTACATTTTCAGACACAATTTGGAACGAACTGTGAACACCCCAACTGATTCAAAATACACACAAATGGGTGCGCGCAGCAAAATTCAGCCCCAATGGTAAGTTCATTTCATCGTGCGGTGACAAGTTAAGAATTTGCGATACATTCTCAGGCGAATGTATGCGAACGTTCACCGGGGGAAGAGGTATTGGACGACAGCTGGCATGGCATCCAGACGGCAATCTGATGGCTTTAGCATTAAGTTGGAACCGCGTTAAGATATTTGACAAAGCTGAAGGCGAGCTAATACAGTGCATTCGTCAACATATGAAAAACCAGATCATTAACATACAGGATGGATCTATTAACTGTAAAAGCACATTAGATAGCACTTCCTTTTCCAGATTTGAGCTCGAGGAACTAAATGATGTCCTCAAAAATAAAAACAAGAGGTCTGCAGGTGGTCATGACCTGATTACGTATGAAATGATACGTGCTCTGTCAGAGGAATCCAAAAGTACACTTTTGGCAGCACTAAATGACTCCTTTCTAAGAGGCAATATCGAGCGACAGTGGCGCCTTATCAAGGTGATCCCCATCCCTAAGTGTGGCAAAGATCCTAGTGAGTATACAAATTACAGACCAATATCTTTAATACCTGTCCTGCTTAAAATGGTTAATCTTATGATTAAAGCCAGAATCAACCCCGTGATTGACAATATCCTTCCGAACAGGTGCTTTGCTTACCGCAGAGGGAGGTCGGCCTCCTTGTGTGTAAATGAAATTTTGCATAACATATATTCATACAAAGACAAAGGTCAAAAGGTTGTGGCGGCTGTGATAGACATCAGTAATGCTTACAATTGTGTTCCCACTTCAGCCCTTGTGAAAGTATTGGAAGAAAGTAGAGTAGATAGTATTTATATTAACTGGATAAATAGCTTTTTAAAAGAAAGAACTCTTCAACTTGGTAGGGAATCAATGATTGTAAACAATGGCCTACCTCAAGGGAGCTGTCTGTCACCGCTCCGTTTTAATTTGTATACTAAATCACTACATGAAATTGCGGATGATTCTACTGAATTATTTCAGTTTGCGGATGACTTTTTAATTTTGATTCGAGATAGGGATTT